CCCGGAAGGCCTGAGGAAGGAATCTCCATCGGATTCTGAGTGTAGTGGGTGGCTCTCAGGAGGGATGAAGCAGAGACCTGGTTTCATCAGCTTGACGCTTCTGGCTGTGTGTGGAGAATGGCCTTTGGGGGAGGTGGGCATGGAAGCGGGGAACATCCTGGAACAGACTTCGGAAGGGCCCAGGGGGAGAGGATGGTGGCGGGCCAGGGCGATGGCAGTAGAAGTAAGAAATAGATTTGGCAGGTGCGCTGGAGGGAGTAGAATGGGCCTATCTGACTCGGGGTGTGGAGGGGGGAGTGGATGTTGGGGTGAGCAAAATAGCAAGAGCTCGCGGGGTTCTTAAGTTTGGGGCCCGAGCAACCGGGTGGATGGTTGTGACATTTGCTGAGACAGAGGACATTGAGGTGAAGCGGCTTGGGGCCAAAGTTGGTACATTTGATATTCCAGGAAGTGCCTAGATACCCCCCCCCCCAGTGGCTTAAATACCCCAAGTGTTGTACGCAAACATCAGAAACGTCTCAAAGTTGGAGTCTAGGTCTGTTAAGGCTCCTCCATCCGCATCAACACCACAGACCCCGGTGCTCTCCAGCCCCGAGTTCCACCAGCCCTAATGGTCTCGCCCTCATGGTCCAAGGGAGCTGCCGGCATGCCAGCCATCACATCCTAGTTCCACTCAGCACAAAGGTGACCCATTAGACTATTTCAGAAGTTCTGCCCAAATTACAGGATGCTTCTGTTTTCTTCCCATTGGACAGGGTTTTATCATCCTGTGGCCTCCCTTCCTTGTCTAGGAAATAGCTCTTTATGCTGGGCACAGGCTGGGACAACTATACAATACAATCACGGTTCTTTTGTTGAGGAGTAGGGAAAGAAAGGGTATCAGGGAAGGCAGCCAGCTGTTTCTGCCTCCACCCACCACCATAAACCGTTCTACCCCTCAGACCGCAAAGCAGGTTAGCTAGCTATCCCGCGTGGGGGGTGGGGGGTAGCTTATTTGAAGGGATATGGTATGGTAGTGGTTTGCAGCTACCTCCCCCTAAATTTCAAAAGATGGGGGTGCCTCATCAGCCTCATCTCTGGGCACCCAATTCTTAAAAGCCTACGGACTTCAGGAACTACTCGAATGAGCGAGGCTGAGACGGCACAGAGGAGATTGAAGGAGCTAGGTGCCCAGTCTTTACGAATAAATCACCAGTTCGGACCACGGCACGTTTCTGCCTCAAAGCCCCCGAGGGCTGGCAGGGGCAAAGCTGATCTCTGAACTTGACATACCGTATCCTTCCAAAGCTCATCTCACATCACACCCTCAGCTCCCCTCACCAACGGAGGCGCACACTCCCCCCAGACAAGGAGGAGTGGCTACAGATGCAGGCGATGGAATGGGGAGATGGGGTGCTGTGATCGTGAGCAAGTCATTTCATCTCTCTGGACCAATTTTCTCACTCATGAAAGGGATTTAGAGAGGGAGAGAGAGAATTGATGAGTGCCTACCTCACACAATCACTGTGATGAGATGGAATTATGTAGGTACTGTCCTTATCCAAGCATCCCTGGTGACACAGTGGGTTATGCCTTGGGCGGTGGCAGTTAGGAGCCATCCACACAGCTCCTAGGGAGAAAGATGAGGCTTTCTGTTCCCGTAAAGCATAAGCCAACAGGGACTGTTTTATCCCGCCCTCCAGGGTCCTTAGGAGTTGACGTAGTTCGGCGTGAATTTCGTGTTTGGTTTTGAGCCTCAGCCGAAGGATTCCTAGTGGCATTATGCGTTAGGCATTACGCTGTCAACTGAAAGGTCAGCAGTTCAAACCCACCAGCCGCTTCATCGTGGGAGACAGATGAAGCTGTTTGTCCCCTTAAAGACTGGCATCTCTGAAACCCTACCTCTCCTGGCTCTGAGTTGGAATCTGGGTTGGGTTGGGTTTGTTTTATCCTTAGTCCAGGGCCGGGCAACAGCAAGGACCCAACAAATGCTAACTGTTGAAAGGGCAGTGATGGACCCGGTGGGGAGCATTCTCGCAGGCCTTCTGTGTTGGAGACCTGAGTCTGAATCCCAACCAGTTCGCCCTGTGGGCAGCCACCATGCCTCGGCAGGTGGAGGCTTCCGGGCTGCCCCGATGATAAGCAGCTCTCAACAGAACTTCCGGGCTGAGGCAGACGAGGAAGAAAGCGCTGGCAGTCCGCTTCTGAAAATCGGCCAGCGAAAGCCCTATGGACCGCAACAGTTTGGACCGCAACAGTTTGGTCCGCACCTGACCGTGGGGGGCAGGCAGTGTCCTGTCCCATTGTGCATGGGGTCCAACTGGACAGTAGCCAACCACAAAGCCCTTGGTTGATATTCTTTGGAAGAGAAGGGCGGGGGTGGTGGTTATGATGGTAAGTCTTAGATTTGAGCTTCATTATTGGCTGTTGGTCATGAAACACACACACACACACACACCTGGGTTCTCCGATGGCACAGTGGTTATGCATTGAGCTGCGATCTGTAAGGTTTCAAGTTTGAAGCCCCCGGCAGCTCTGCAGGAGAAAGACGAGGCTTTTTACTCCCCTAAAGAGTTACAGTCTCAGAAACCCACAGAGGCCGTTCTGCCGTGTCTTACGGGACCCCACGGCCGCGAGAATAAACGCGTTACCTTCTGTCAAGAAAGGGCACGGATGTTTCAACAACGTCACATCAAAAGTGTGCTTGTTTCTCGCTCTTGTATGTCGCAGCCCCGTGCAGGTGATGGAGGACAGTTGGTCAGGGACCCGGACCTTGCAGCCCTGACTCTCTGGCCTCCCTTGGGATCCCTGGCGTCCTCTCCACTCGACCAGCATGAGGGCTGTGAGGACATTGGGTCAGGCCCAGGGAAGGTGCTTCAGCAACACGCAACTGGTCGCGTGTTGCTGCTGGTACTTGCCCTGAAATTGCCTCTGCCGCTTAGGGACCTCCTAGTAGGAAGGCTTTCATGGCTGTTTCAAAGCACTTTGCCCCACCTTGATTTCCAAGCGAGTTTGGTTACTGGTCTCATGCCTAACCATTCGCCCCACCCAGGAACTCCTGGCAGATCCTGTGGCCCCACAGGAACTACAAGGGATGCTGGGAAATGTAGCCTCATCTGTGTGTGCTATCAGTTACCAGACTTCCCAAAACATAATGGCTTAAATCCACCACCACTTCATTTGCTCACCATCCCGGTGGTTGGTGAGGGTTGGCGATTTGGGCAGGATCCAGCGGGACGGTTATCTTGGGCTCACCTGGGGTCACTCATGCTGCTACGGTCATCTGGGGGTGCAGAGACCCAGGGTGGCTGCACTTACACGTCTGGCTCTTGGCTGGACTTCTCTGTGTGGTCTTGAGCTTCCCAGATACTAGTCCTGGCCTCTTCAAACAGTGGGAGGGCAGGCAGAAGCTCCTCACAAAAGCTGTAAAGCTTTGGGAGGCCTACACAAGAACTCGCACCTAAAACCAAGAACAAGCCCCCCAGGCCACTGCTGTCGAGCTGACCCTGACTCACAGCGACCCCACGTGCCACTGGGGAGAATTGCTCTGCAGGGTTTCGTGACTAATCTCAATGGAAGCTGACCACCGGGGCTTTCTTCTGTGGCACCAACTGGGCGGGTTCAAACCTTGGAGCAGGAGCTGTGTGTCCCACCCAGGGCTCAGTTGTTACTTTCTGGGAAATTCTGTTCCGGGGAGGGGTGGAGTACCTGCTTAACTGCCAGGTCAGCAGTTTGAAACCACAGCGGCTCTGGCAGCTGGAAGATGAGGTTTTTGTACTCCTATAAAGAACTACCGTCTCAGAAACTCACAGGGGCACTTCTGCCCTGTCCTACAGGGTCGTTCTGACTCAGAATTGACTCGATGGTTCTGATTTTGATGTTTGTTTGGGTGTGTTTTTTTGTTTGATTTGGTTTCCTGGGAGGACGTCATCTTGCAAAGGGCAGGCACAGGGATGGGCAGGAAGGATGTGGGCAAGCTCCCTGTGGCCAGGTGCGGAGGGGGGAAGAGAGTTGATGTACCCACAGCAGTCTCACCCCTGGTGAACTCTTGCTCACTCTCTTTATTTGTGATTCCCCCCCCCCCTGAATTGCGCCAAATAGATAGGATGCATACTCGAGCACACTTGAAAACATTCATGGGGAAATGGAATGGAACCCTCATGGATTTGGACTTTTCCCAGGACCTTTTTGAAGCACCCCCCTGCCCCCACCCCTTTCAACACACCTCCTTCCTGCATACAATCCAGTGACTGTCACACCCCCAAAACCCAAACCCTGTGCCATCCAGCGGGTTCAGACACATAGCAACCCCATGTGACAGAGCAGAACCACTCCATTGCTTTTGTTGTGTGTTCTTGTAGTATTGCGCCTTTGGGCTTCCGAGACCAGAGCAGACAGCCTCCTCTTTCTCCCGTAGTTCCATGGGCCGGACTGGAACCACTGATCTTGCAGTTAGCTGCTCGCTGTTGATGATGATGTCCAACCATTACCATGGTTCAATGCTGTGTTTTCCCTTTAACAGATGCTCGGGTCCTCCCCCCTACCCCGCTCCCCAACTTCCTCTCGAAGACCAAGATCCAACACGTTCCATCGTTCCTTCTCTGGCCACAGGGCTCCCCTTCCTCAGGGTGCACTCTCTCACTGTCATGGAGTCAATGCCGACTCATAGCAACCCCCTAGGACAGGGCAGAGATGCCCTGTGGCCTTGTGAGACGGTCACTCTTCCTAAGGTAGAAAGCCTCTTCTCTCTCCTCAGGAGCAGCTGGTGATTTAGAACTGCTGACCTTGCAGCCTAGTGTGTGTAACTACTCCCACGCCGCCAGTGCTCTTAGAAGATGACATTAGAGTACACAATGCAGGCTCCGGGCTGCAGGTTTTTTATCCGGCTCCCAGGAAAGGTTTCCTGTAAGGCCCTGAGGAAGAGGGCAAGAGAGGGCTTGGAGGTTCGAACGGGAGGAGAGCAGAGGGGAATGGTATTGACCTGCCCCTCAAACGGCCTTCTATTTTGTCTGTGTCCACAGGGACAGGACAGGAAGTGCAGACAGAGAATGTGACAGTGGCCGAAGGTGGGGTGGCTGAGATTACCTGCCGTCTACACCAGTACGATGGGTCGATAGTTGTTATTCAGAACCCAGCCCGCCAGACTCTCTTCTTCAACGGTACCCGGGGTGAGTGCTGGGCCCCCACATCTTGCGTCTTGAAGGTGGAAGGGGCTGGGTCTGAGAGTGGAGGGGGCTGGGGGCCTGAACCCATGGTTTTGAGGGAGGAGAGGAGGGGATAGGGGATGTGGACTCCTGAGTTTAAGGGAGGAGGGGGCTGGGGGTGGCTGGACCCTTGGGTCTGAAGGAGGAGGGTACTGGGGCTTGGACTCCTGGGGCTGCAGTTGGGAGGACCCGGGGATCGTCCAGAGTAAGGTGAGATTGGCTCTTTAGAACCAGATACATGGCTGGAGAAGGGGGTACGTTTGGGCAGGACCCCCAGTTCAGCCCTTACCCCACCCCTGTACCCCCACCCCCTCGCAGCCCTGAAGGACGAGCGCTTCCAACTTGAGGAGTTCTCACCGCGAAGGGTTCGGATCCGGCTCTCGGATGCCCGTCTGGAGGACGAAGGGGGCTACTTCTGCCAGCTCTACACGGAAGATACCCACCACCAGATCGCCACGCTCACTGTGCTGGGTAAGGACACCCCCTCCTGTTCCCTGGGCCTTCCTGTTACCCGAGACCCACCCCTGACCACTGCCCTCTGGGTAGATTGGGGGTGGGGTGTTCAAAAAGGGCGTGGGGAAGAATCCAGAATCTGGCCATTCTATCTTTTTCCTTCCTGACCTAGTCTCTGCTTGACCCCTGCCACCTGGTTCCCTGGTTCCCCATCGCCCCCCGGGGTCCTGCAACCTGGTCATTTGGGGGCCAAGCCTCCGTGATCGCTCCCCTGACCCGCCTCCTTCTGCGACAGTGGCCCCAGAGAACCCCGTGGTGGAGGTCCGGGAGCAGGCGGTGGAGGGTGGCGAGGTGGAGCTCAGTTGCCTGGTCCCGCGGTCCCGCCCGGCGGCCGTCCTGCGCTGGTACAGGGACCGCAAGGAGCTGAAAGGTACCGGGGGCGGGGCCAGGGAGGGGCGTGGTTATCCTGTGGGCGTGTCGTGGGCGTGGTTTCTCTTGGGCCCGGGCCTGAAAGGATGCGGATTCTATGGGTGTGAACCTCGCGCGCGCCTTGGCCAACTGTCCAAATTCTAAACTTGAGGCGCTTGGAAGGAAAGTGAGAGAGGGGGACGGGGTGGGGTGCGTGGCCTTCATTGGTGTGTCTGGGAATAGATTCAAGACTTCTAAGAGGGTGGTGATTGGAGGTAAATCCCAGATTCCCAGAAGATGAGCTTGGGCGAAGGGGCAGTCCTTAGGGGTAGAGTTTGAAGAAAGACCAGCGTGTGCTTTAAAGGAGGGTAGCTCGGATGGGGCTTGGAGGATGTGGGAAGTCGGGGAGCTAGGGGCATGGAGACAAGGATTTGAGAGAGCATCCAGGTCCTGATGAATATCGCTCAATATTCAGTTCCTGAATGAGTGGGTCAGTGAGAAGGGGTGGGAGGGGATGGGGAACAGCTTTGGGAAGAGATGTGGGTTGTACGATTTATTTGGGAAGGGGCGGGGCTTGGAAGACTAGGAGAGGCCCGTGTCTACCCCATCCCCCCAAAATAACCAAGCTCACTGCCATCAAGTCGAGGGGTTTCCAGCACCAGCATGGCCTGATGGGTTATGAGTTGGGCTCCTAACCAGAAGGTCAATGGTTGGAATCCACTAGCCTCTCTACAGGAGCAAGATGAAGTGTTCTATTCCCATGAAGAGTTACAGCCTCGGAAACCCACAGGGCAGTTCTCCTCTGCCCTCCAGGGTCTCTATGAGAGGGCGTCGACTTAATGGCAGTGAATTTGGTAAACTTTACCCAAGCAGACGTGCCCAGAGTGGCTTCACCTTTCAGTTAGCAATCAAGCACGTACCCACCGCCCCACGGGGGCTCCTTAGCCAAAGCAGAACATACCACACTGTTATCGAGTTGATTCGGACTCTGTGCAGGGTTCCTGAGACAAACATCTTTACAGGAGCAGAAAAGACTAGTGGGTTTGAACTGCTGACCTTCTGGTTAGCAACCCAGCGCATACCCCACGATGCCACCAGGGCCCTAGATGACATCGCCATGGATTTGATGGTGGTGGGTTTGGTTTGGGTCTGCTGAAGGATTATCAAAAACCCGAACTCACTGGTCTATAGGACAGTATTGAACCGCCCCAGCGCAGAAAGGCTCATCTTTCTCCCTCAGATTGACTGGTGGCTTCGAACTGCTGACCTTGTGGTTAGGAACCCAACATGTATTCCACTATACCACCAGTTCTCCGTCAGTTCAGGGACAACAGAAAGCAAAAGCAAAAAAACGTCTCACTGCCAGGGAGCCCACTGACTCACAGTGACCCGGTAGGACAGAGTTACAAGAGTAGAGAGCCCCTGTCTTTCTCCCACGGAACTCCGTGGCTGGTGGCTTCGAACCGCTAACCTTACACTTAACAGCCCAATTCACATCTCCAACACCCAACCGCTACAGCACTCGGGCTGAGGGAGAGAGTGTGGCACCAACAGTTTGCTCTGGGATTTGCTGGGGACCATGCTGGTGGCAGGGCTGGGGTCCTGGTCTTTGACTGTGGGGCTGGGCCTGGCAGGAGTGAGCAGCCAACAGGAGAATGGCAAAGTCTGGCGGGTGATGAGCACCGTGAGGTTCCGGGTGGACCGCAAAGACGACGGTGGCATCGTCATATGCGAGGCACAGAACCAGGCGCTGCCCACGGGACACAGCAAGCAGACGCAATACGAGCTGGACGTCCAGTGTAAGTGCCTCCAGCGCCAGTCTCCCGCCCTGCCCCGGAAATGACTCTAGTCCCGTTCGATGACCCCAGACACCCACGGGCCTTTGCCCTTTCTTTCCACAGATTCCCCCACCGCCCGCATCCATGCCTCCCAGGCTGTGGTGAGGGAGGGAGATACGCTGGTGCTGACGTGTGCAGTGGCAGGGAACCCCAGGTGAGCTCTGGAGCCCCGATACTACTGGGGCCCCGAGCATGGCCCACCTTGGAGACCCGAATTGCCGGCTCCTGAGGAAGGAGACGGCTCAGAAACCTCACGCTTAGATTCTGAAATTGACCTAGGATTTCAGAGACCCTGATCATGGGTGGGGACTAAAAGGGCCCTTTATTCTGAGGATGACTCCGAATAGGTTTGCCTTCAACTACTGATTGGTCGTTGGAACTCCCCCAGCAGTGCCGCACGCAGAAGAAAGGCCTGGCAGCCCTCCTCTGTGCAGATTTAAAAACCCACTGCCATCGAATTGATTCCAGCCCACAGTGACCCTGTAGGAGACTTCCAAAGCTGTCAATGGTTACAGCCACAAAAGCTCTGTAACCAAACCCAAACCAAATCCACTGCCAGCAAGTCGATGGCGATGCACAGCAACCCCATGGGGCAGGGTAGACCTGCCCCTGCGAGTTTCCAAGACTAACTCTTTACAGGAGTAGAAAGCTCCGTCTTACTCCCTCGGAGGGGCTAGTGGTTTGGAACTGCTGACCTTGCAGTTAGCAGCCCAAACTCACAACCACTATGCCACCAGGACTCCCAAGAAAGGAGCAGTTTCCTTTTCTGTAACACCTGGGGCTGTCAGGGACTCACTCCAGGACACAGGGCCAAAGGTGGGATGGGAGTTACTGTCCTAGATTCCTGAGAAATCCCAATTAGGGGCTGGCACCTGCATCATTAACTCTCACTGTCCGTTTCCACCCCTCCAGGCCAAACCAGATCCGCTGGAACCGCGGGAACGATTCGTTGCCGGAGCGAGCCGAGGCCATGGGGGAAACGCTCACGCTGCCAGGCCTGGTCTCCGCCGACAATGGCACCTACACTTGCGAGGCGTCAAACAAGCATGGTCACGCGAGGGCGCTCTACGTGCTTGTGGTCTACGGTGAGGGCTCTGAGGCATGGCACCGGGTGGGGTTTGGGGCTCGGTCGGAGGTGCAAACCCCTGGTAGGTGGGTCCATTGGGAATGGGCTGAGCACTTGCGTATGAGGGGGCGGGGGTTGTACAAAGACAGTGATTCTGTGGGTCAGCAGCTAGCAGTGTTCTTACAGTTCTGGTTCAAAGTCAGCTTTGTTGCGCCCTACTGCAGCCCAGGGGAGCCCTGGTGGCATAGTCGTTACACGTGGAGCTGCTAACCACGAGGTCAGCGGTTTGAAACCACCAGCTAGCTGCTGCCCCACGGGAGAAAGAGAAGGCTTCCTACCCCTATAAAGGGTTATAGTCTCAAAAACCCACAGGGCCAGTTCTCCCCTGTCCTCTAGAGTCGCCATGGGCCAGAATGGACTCGACAGCAGTGAGTTAATGCGGCCCCAGTAGTCCGATACAGGGCTGCTAACCAAAAGGTCAGAGGTTCGAACTCACCAGCTGCATAATGGGGAAAAGCTGTGGCAGTTGGCTTTTGTAAGCATTGACAACCTGGAGGCCCTGCAGCGCAGTTCCACCGTGTCTGTCTTCTGGGCTCGCTCTGTGTCAGAATCAGTCCCCTCCTATACCTGTGAGAGCTGGGAAATAAATAAGGCAGACTGGAGAAGAATGGATATCTGTTAATCATGGTGTCAACGAAGATTGACTACCGGAAGAACAAACACGTTGTCTTGGAAGAAGTACAGCCAGGAAGCTCCTTAGAAGCCAGGATGGGGAGACTCTGTCTCACGTCCTTTGGGCGTGTTATCAGGAGGGACCGTATCCCTGAAGAAGGACATCATGTTTAGTAAAGTCGAAGGACATCATGTTTGGTGAAGTCGAGGGACATCATGTTTAGTAAAGTCGAAGGACATCATGTTTGGTAAAGTCGAAGGACATCATGTTTGGTAAAGGACATCATGTTTGGTGAAGTCGAAGGACATCATGTTTGGTAAAGGACATCATGTTCGGTGAAGTCGAGGGACATCATGTTTGGTAAAGGACATCATGTTCGGTGAAGTCGAAGGACATCATGTTTGGTAAAGGACATCATGTTTGGTAAAGGACATCATGTTTAGTGAAGTCGAGGGACATCATGTTTGGTAAAGTCGAAGGACATCATGTTTGGTAAAGTCGAAGGACATTATGTTTGGTAAAGTCGAAGGACATTATGTTTGGTAAAGTCAAAGGACATCATGTTTGGTAAAGGACATCATGTTTGGTAAAGTCGAAGGACATCATGTTTGGTAAAGTCGAGGGACATCATGTTTGGTCAAGTCGAAGGACATCATGTTTGATAAAGTCGAAGGACATCATGTTTGGTAAAGGACATCATGTTTGGTAAAGGACATTATGTTTGGTGAAGTCGAAGGACATCATGTTTGGTAAAGTCAAGGGACATCATGTTTGGTAAAGGACATCATGTTTGATGAAGTCGAGGGACATCATGTTTGGTAAAGTCGAAGGACATCATGTTTGGTAAAGTCGAAGGACATCATGTTTGGTAAAGTCGAAGGACATCATGTTTGGTGAAGTCGAAGGACATCATGTTTGGTGAAGTCGAAGGACATCATGTTTGGTGAAGTCGAAGGACATCATGTTTGGTAAAGTCGAGGGACATCATGTTTGGTGAAGTCGAGGGACATCATGTTTGGTAAAGTCGATGGACATCATGTTTGGTAAAGTCGAGGGACATCATGTTTGGTAAAGTCGAGGGACATCATGTTTGGTAAAGTCGAGGGGCAGAGAAAAAGAAGAGCACCCTCGGCGAGGTGGATTGACACAGTGGCTGCAACGATGGGCGCACACATACCTGTGACTATGAAGATGACCTTTCAGCTGTCCCCGGGGTCACTTTGAGTGGGAACCCACCTGAAGGCACCTTACAACAACATAGTAAGCCAAGAAGTGGTTGGCCCCTAAGCCAGCATTTTCAATAACAAGCCTTGTCGATAAACTCACTGCCATGGAGTCAATCCGGCCTCATAGTGACCCTCTAGGACAGAGTAGAACTGCCCCCGTGGGTTTCCAAGACTGTAACTCGCTACGGGAGTAGAAAGCCTCGTCTTTCTCCCTTGGAGCAGCTGGCGATTGTTATCTGTGGACCTCTGGGTTACCCACAATGCCCCCAGGGTCTCTCTATTGTACATAAGATGGTCATGATATCGGGGCTGAGGTTCTCTGGTGGAAGAAACAGTCCAAAGTCTTGTTATGGGGCTGGGGAGTAAGACTGCAGACAATTCAGTACATGCTCATTTCTTTCCAAAGCGGGTCCATGAGAGGGGGTCATCACCATGACCATCGGGTTGATTCCTACTCATGGCCAGCCTAGAGGTTGGAGAACAGCTGCCTGTGTGGGTTTCCTAGGGCTCTGCATCTTTAAGAGAGCCGAACACCTCATCGTTTTCCCTCGGAGGGGCTTGTGGGTTCGAACTGCTGACCTTGTAGTTAGCAGCCCAACAAGTATAGCCCACTAGGCCGGCTCCCAGGGATCCTTATGGGGCCACAAGGTAGCAATACGTTTGAAGGGCATGACCGAATGCGTCCAGGGGTGGGTAGTGCTGGGATTATCTTCAGATGACCTGCCCTTGTCCCCCTGCAGACCCCGGGGCGGTGGTAGAAGCTCAGACGTCGGTGCCCTATGCCATCGTGGGTGGCATCCTGGCGCTACTGGTCTTTCTGATCATTTGTGTACTGGTGGGCATGGTCTGGTGCTCGGTCCGGCAGAAAGGTGAGTGGGGCCGCGGAGGGGCCAGGGTTCAGCCAGGGGCATGGTGGGTTGGGGAGTCGGGACTGGGCGGGGTGTGTTATTCCAAAGAGGGCTGGTGAAGAGCCTGGATTAGGAGGGAGTGGGGCCAGATCTAGGATTGGGAATTTTAAGGGACCAGAAACTAAGGTATCCAAGGCTTCCGGCCGAGGATCCTAAAAGGAGTGAATCCGATCGATTGAAGGGCAGACGTTGGAATAGAACCATGGTTCTTCCACTGGGTCCATTGGGAGCAGAATGAAGGGAAGTGATAAGAGTTGATAGTTTCAAAAAAGAAAAGAGTTGATAGTTTCCTGAACTCTTGAAATCATCCTAATTCTGCTTTTGCCTCTTTCTCTGCCTCTCCTACTTTTCCCGGAATATGACTCCCCCGCGTGTTTCGTCTCCTACCTACATCCGCGCCGGGGCTCGTGCCCCCTTCTCCATACCTTTTGGTCCTACCTTCGGCTCTGATTGGGGCTCTGTCGCCTCTCAGGCTCCTATCTGACCCACGAAGCCAGTGGCTTGGATGAACAGGGAGAAGCCAGAGAAGCCTTCCTTAATGGTAGCGACGGACACAAGAGAAAAGAAGAATTCTTCATCTGACCCGGCCTGCACCACAGGCTCGGGCCTGGGCTGGGGGCAACCCCTCCGCACTGCCAGCTGCCAGGAACCAGCAGAGACATTTGCCAGAGTCTGGGATGGTGGACTTCTTTTCCCACCACTAACACCTCAGACGCTTGGGCAGGGATGGGGGCGACGGGTGGCTGGGTCACTGCCAGGGCCAGAAGTGAGGGCCCAGCAGTCTGGATCTCCCCAGGGGCAGGGCCAGAGGTCCACATACCCCCAAGTCCAGGGAGGGCAGTGGGGTTTGGGTTGGGGAAAGGTCAGAGCCCCTAGGCTACAGAACCAGGTCTTGTGGGGAGGGGGCAGAGTCTGGGAAGGGTGGGATGGGCAGGGAGGGGGAACACAGATTTCTATGGGGGTCTCTGACCCCATGCCAGCCATTGTAAGAGTTTCTCAGAGCTCTGGGCACCTCTTTGCAAAGCCATGTTTGCACGGTGGGGGGTGGGGCGGGGGCGGGCGTGGAAACCGGGGGTGTGTGTCTTTGTGTCATAACTTTGAGGGGGGGGTCGGCGAGGGGGACAGGCCCAATCCTTTTCTCCATTCCCTCTGCCCCAGGTCCCTGGGCTTCCCCTCCCACCCCCACTTCCTCCACCCATCTTTGTCTCTCTGTCTACCCCCTTCTGGGGGGGCCTTCCCCATCTCTCCTCAAGGCCCCCCCAGAGAGGGGGAAAGGAGTTGGGGGGGGGGTGCATTGGTCTCTATGGTTTTATATATAATATATTAAAAAAAAGCAAAAATCTGTATGAAAATACCAGATTGAGCCCCCTCCCCCCCTACTCCTGGCTTTTGCCCCCTTTTTTCTTGTTAAAAACCAACCAACCACGTTTTATATGGGGAGGGGAACAGGGAGGGAGTTTGGCAATTCCACTAACCACCATTAAACTGAGGAGAGAATGAGCATTTGGAGTGGCTGTGTGTCTGCCCCCTCCCCCAGGGCTGCCCCACTTGGTGGGGGGTGGGGGTGGGAGGGAGGCAGTAACAGCACCAGGTGAATCCTATGGGATAGGAGAGGGTCCTGGCCTGAAGAGCATCTCAACCCCTCAAGAAACCTGGCATTTTTCCTGGCCATGCCTTCTAAAGCAGGGATTGGGGTGGTGGTGGGGGAACGAAACTTTTTTCTGCCAGGGGCCATTTGGATATTTATAACATCACTCGAGGGCCATTCAGAATGATCGACTTAGAGATTAGCCCGCTAATAAATGCTTGGTCCAATATTTCATTAACTCACTCCTGATGGGATGGTGGGAGTGGCTTCTCTTTGGTAAGGTAAGCTGGTGTTGGTGATTACACGGGCCGTTATGTTCACGCCTGAGCTAAAGGGCCACCCCAGTCATGTCATTGGGGCCTGAGCTATAGCTACTGAGCTCCCCTCTCAGCCTCAGTGGCCTAGAACCTGAACCTGACTTCCCTCAGCCCTGTCTCCAAGCTACCCGGTCAATTCCAAGTCGCCTTGCCTCTATCCTGCTGGGCACTCTTCCCAGGCTCGCCTCGCCTCTAGATCAATCAAAGCTCCTCAGGCTAGCATTCCAAGCCCTTCCTTCCCTCATTCATCCAATGATTCTAATTTTAGGTTTCTAAAATATACTGAACTCTTAAACATGTGCCAGGCGCAGCTCATAGAGAGATCTGGAGAGCCCGCTGTGCATAAAACAGGCCAACTGTAGGTGTTGGGCGGCTGTGGCTAGCTAACTCCACTGTTACCGGGCAAGGTGAGCCAACCCCACTTTTATCAGTTAACTGCAGGGCGAGGATCACCGCTAAGCCAAGTCATACTCCAAAGTTACCCCAGCCTTCACTTTCCCACATCTCTCATCCCAGTCACCAGCCGTCTGTCTCTGGTGCTTCTTGTCTCACATCCAAGTTGGGTGCCAACCGGCCTGGCCCCCTAGGATCAGTTTCTAGGGGTCCAGCCCTGAGCTGGCTCTGTGCACAACTCCCCATACTTCAGCCAGGCCCTCTCTACCTCTAGCCGCCTGGAGCTAGGTCCCAAGCTAGAGGAACTTGACCCTTGCATCCTTCATACACTGCCCATGCGTGCAGCCACTGTCTCTGTCACCCAGCCCCCCAGAGCTGATCCCTCCGAGTTAGGACTGTTCTTAAGGTCCACTGCACAGCCTTCTGAATTAGCCACCCTGAGCTAAGGGCAAGGGCTGCAGTTCAAACCCACCAAGGGAGGAAAACGAGGCTGTTTTGAGATGTGCAGCCTTGGATGCCCTTGGGTCCGGTTGCTCTGTGCCAAACTGCCTCATTAGCAGAGGGCTGGAGGCCGGAGGCTCGTCCATCCAATTACCCCATGGGCTCCTTCCTTCCCAACAACAGCTCAGACATGGACACCTGCGCTTAGGGTGAGAACCCTGGTGGCGCTGTCCAGGAAGCAGCGTGGGACTGCTGACATCAAGGTGGGCAATTCACACCGACCACAGGGGAAAGATGGTCTGTTCTCTCCTGTAGATCTGCTATCTGCTCCTGTAGATTTACAGCCTCGGAAACTACATAGGGCCAGAATGAGCCCTGAGTCAGAATTAGCTCCGCTCCATGGCAGGGGGTTTATTACCTATACTTATTGTTAGGCGCCGTTGAGCGAGTGCCAACTCACAGCTACTCAGTTATTATAGCCAGAAAAGGTGCAAGGAAGAGGCTCATCAGGCAAGCTGCGAATGTTCCCTGCACTGAACTGTCATTGTCCCCAGGGACACACCACTCTCTTCAGCAGATGGGTGTTTGTCATCGAATCCAACAAGCCCTCCCCCTACCTCCAAAAAAAAAGTCCCAAGGCCTGGGGTCCTTTATAAGCACACTGAGACCTTAATGTATATTCATGAGTACATCTTCATACATCGTTATGATTGGTCCATTCATGAATATGCATAATGGCACCAGGTCCCTCCCTCCCTCCCTGAGGCCAGTTGCCAGCTGGGGCCTGAGTGGCTCCCTGCTGATTTCCACAGGAGTTTAAGTGTTGCACGGCTGTTTCAGAAAAACAAAGAACGCCTACCTTGTGGAGGCTCTTTTCAGAAACCAGACCTACCCATCCCAAACTGAGGTTAAAGACGGTTGAGGGGTTAAATTGTAACTTGTACTGCCCCCAGATGCTGAGAACCCAAAGTAGAAAGAGGGAGAGTCCACTCTTCCCCTCTGGAAGCTTCCCTGCTTCCGGAAAGTAGACAGCCATGGCTAAGGAAGCAAGACAAAAGAAGGGTGGGGGGCTGCAGGCATACTAGAATGATCAGAGCAGAGTCAGGGAGTGCAGGACGCTGGGATGTTTTAACTGGTCTTTATGGAGTACTTCAGGGGCCAGTCCTGGTGGTATACTGGGTGCCTAGCTGGGCTGCTAATGTCTAGGTCAGCAGTTCGAAACCACTAGTGAGGCTTTGTACTCCCATAAGGAGTTCAAGTTCATTGCTCTCCAGTCCACTTTGACCCAAGGCGATTCTGCAAGACTCAGTAGTCTGCCCCCTGTGGATTGTTTTTGTTTTGTTTTGTTTTAATCATTTTATTAGGGGCTCATACAACTCTTATCACAATCCATACACACATCAATTGCGTAAAGCGCATTTGTACATCATTCTCAAAACATTTTCTCTCCACTTAAACCCCCAACATTAGGTCCTCATTTTTCCCCTCCCTCCCCGCTCCCCCCTCCCTCATGAGCCCTTGATAGTTTGCAAATTGTTATTTTGTCA